CATTAGGATTTTGTTTCGCTATGTGATCAAATTAATTTTTTACGTTACATTACGTAATAAAAAAAAAAAAGAATTGGAAAGAGACAAAGTGTTTGAAAAGTTAAGAGATATGCTTATCTAAATTTTTGCAGTAAAAAGGATTATGTAATCGAAGCGTGCTCGATAAAATTTCCTAAAGATCATGTTGGAACGGTAAACTCGTAAGACGCATCTTTCACGTTCAAAGCTCGTCCTGTGTTGTTCTATATTACCTACTTCGTCTCTATACTTTATTACGTCTGCATCCTTCGAACGTTGCCAAACAATTTTCTCAAAATGCTTGCTTATCTCTTGACTCCTTGCTCCATGATTTCTAATACTGGCGATTTCTTTTTCATGTTATTTACGAAATTGCACAGCTAATATTAGTTACGAACGACAAAATTGATAGAAGATGGTAGAAAATAATATTTGATTCATTGTGAAAGTAAAAAAAAATGTTGAACAAAATTTTTACTAAATACACATTCTTTCACAAATTGCCAATCGGCAATTTATACCAGATCTCACTAATTATGAATATTATTTTGCACAAAAACATGATTATTTAGTTTACGATATTTTCCGACTTCAACAAATATGTGCAACGGATATGTGTCGATTACTCAAAGTTTGAAGTAACAAGAAACTTAAGACCGGCATCAGACGAAGTAATTTATGCAAATACTTAGACATTCGTAGACAAGTTTAACTATAATTAAGGTAATATTTAGAAATAAGTAGAACTTATCATTTTATCAAAAATCACGTTCTTGCGTTCAGTCGCGGAGTTCGAGAGTTTCTCTGTAATATCTATCCTTTCTTTGCTGTGTTTTTAGACAGTCAGATGAATAAAATTAAACACACGCGCATCGACCAGACGTTTCCTTGCGTATACTTAAGTTGTTCTTGCACGTTGTACTTCGACGCACATGGCCCCTATACTCGATACTACTGACGCTGTTCGTTATCTCTACCACGCCGTGATGCATTCAGAAAAAGTCTGTTCTTATATTTTTGTTGCGTGTAATTAATCTCTACAGCACAAATAACACAATTCATAAAACGTAGACTGAGTCTAATTGTATGTAATGTAAAATTAATTTTAATATTTTATTTGATATTCAGATGATGGGCAAAAAACATTGGGCGATGCTTTATATATATATATATATATATATAAAACAAGAATTAATAAAAATGCAACGAAAACTAATGGTAATAATGTAACAGCATATAACATGAGATTTTTTTTTGTCACTTCTTATTATATCAAGAAAAGTAATGAAATTACTCTAGCGCAGCGTTTTCGCAGTTTTAATCTCAAACGCAAATGATATCCATTTCGTTATTCATCACGTGTATTGCAACGTGAAAGTAATACAGAAGTTGATAAAGAGAATTATACGTTTAGATTAAAATCTACAACGGAGGAACACGTTAAATGAACTAAAGAAAAAAAAAAGAAGAGAGAGCTTTAGAGAGCAGCGATGGAAAAAGCTAATTTGTGCAGCTTATCTCTCAGAACGACTGTTTGCGCGTTTCCATCGTCCGGAAGAAAGAGTAATGAAAGGTAGATTGCGAATCTATCTGCACTCTCTCTACGCTTCGTAGAAGAGGGGGTTGCATATCGGCAAAATCCGCAACGCGATCTAACATAGAGTAATGGAGCTGTGCGTCGGAGTGTCGCTTATCTGCCGCACGATCGCGTCAGCTGCAAATCGCCTCCGTACTTAACATCCCTGTATGTGACCGCAACCTCCGAGATTCGGAATGCGGCGCGGCGAATCACATCCCGAGGCACGCATGCCTAGTAACGGAAGTGAAGCAGATAGGTAGGTAGGTAGGTAGGTAGGCTTTGGTCCATGACCTTTAGGTCATGGTTTCGAAGGGGAGTCCGTCACGTATTCTCCCTTTGGCTGTAGCGCGTCAACAGTATATGCTAGTACTACTCTAAACTCTGCCCTCATATTGCACATGTAATACATCAATTTTTGAAACCTATTAAATTATTAAAACGCAAAAAAAGAAACGAGGAAAGCGGACGATGTTTTATTTAAAGAAACTTGGAACTTGTAAGCTCCTTCGACGAAAACACCGAGTGGTTTTTAAATTATAAATAATTGAAAAGCATGGAGATATTCTTACGAATTATATAAGTTTCAGAGATGCAGATCAATAGTTGGTTAATTTTAAATAAACTTTAACGGAGTTTTAATTTAGAGTTTGCTCACCGAAAGTATCGGATGCGGAAAAGTTGACGAAGTTTTTTTTGCTAAACAAAAGATTATTTCAAATTGATTAAAGCATTTATGAATAAAATATCACTCAATAATTTTGATATATCTATTTGTTTTAATAAGCACAATGTTGTATTCATCTCAGATTTCAATTTAACAATATTGTATTTAAATTTGGACTATTATTCAATATAAAACATTATAATATATTATGTATGTACATAATTATATGATATTATAATACATTATGTTGTTCCTAATTCATATAATACATTGTGCATATTATGTGCTGAATTATATAGTATGTATCATTGTATATATTCCAATTATTTCTATTAAAATTATAAAATATTCCATTTATGTAATTTTAAACTGTACGGGATTTAAAAAATATTGGTTTTCAATTAATGAACATTAGAAAGGTGTATCAGATTATCTTGTTACGTGTGTTAAGTGATTTATCTCTGTATAGAACACACTTGTTTCAAATGTCGATCTCGCAGTCAAAATCGTAAAAGTTCAAATTTTATCACTGATATATTTTTTTTTACTTCTTTCTAAATTTTCGAATATTATTAACTTTAAATAAAACGCTTTTTCAAATAAAAACTTGTAGAGAATAACATTTAAATAAATAATATTGAAAATTATGAATCCAAATTATAACAATTCTTTGATATAGTTCATAAGAAATAAAATATATACATACATATATGTATAATAAATAAAATAACTAAAAACTAATATTATTTATCATATCTGTATTCTCGAAGAAATATTATATATTCATATTATTTTTCTACTGTATCTCTTTTTTTCTCTTTCTCTCTCTCTTCCTATTCACTATACATTAATAAGTATATAAACATTTAAATCTATTGTATCTCTGCACGATATACCGTGTGTCAAAGGTGATCGCTGCATGATGATAATCAAGTTATCGTTGACAAAATTAAGGAATACATTAAATGGATTTACTTACCAAGCGATGTGACGCGTCGACATTGCCTCGCTCCTAACCGTTCCAGACACTCACTCGCGTGGATGCGGATCGATCGAACACGCGGCTAATCGCCACTCGGTGGTTTTAATTAACGCGGCACGGTAATGGTTCGTTGCGCCGTACGACGTATAACTCCCGACAATCGCGCAAAAGTACATATTTGAAACGCGTATAAACAACGTGACGGCACGGCGATCACAGGGCGTGGTGCGTTTTGCCCCATTGTTTACATTTGTATACGCGTCGCGTGCCCTTCGCGGAAAGAGTCGAGTTACGCGTTACACAACCATTCGCGCCCCCTCGCGCGCAGCGTCACACGACGCGAGATCGCAATTCGGTCGCGGAAGACGTACGTCTAATTGCCGTCGCGTATCCGGTGTATATTCCGGCTTAATCCGAAAGGACGAGTCGCTTGACTCAGCACTCCCAAAGCACGGGCGAAACTCACACCCCTCCACCCCCCCTCCGTCCCCCGACAGACGCATAAACGCAACGAGAGAAGCCGTGGGAAGCCGAGACGTACTCCGACTTGAGAACGCGAAACGTGCGGTGAAATTAGGCGCCGTGAAATTGGCTGTGCTCAGCGGAAAAAGCAGCTTTGCGGCAACTGTTGCAGGATATTCTTTGACATGATTGGTTTATACATTTATTATTAGATTTAGCGAGGAACCGCGGACCGCGAGAGTCAATCGTATTAAAAAAAGTCTTGCAACAGTTGCAAAGCCGCTGCTTCCTCCTCCTGCCGATTGCTGCAGCCATTGGTGCAAGATAACCGCACCTAGTCAAATCAGAGCAAAAGCGAAGTCAATAGAAAGCGCCCGCCGCGCGTCACATACGACCGAAGCCAATATCATAACAAACCGCTGTTGCGTATCGGGAATTACGTGGGCGTATATGCGCTTTGTTCGAGGTAATTTGCCCCGTCATTTCACATTCTCCGTGTTGTTGATTATTTTACGTATCGATCGCGTTGCGTATCCCGCTGTGCTTTTGGTTTTGATCGAGATAATCGAGCGTAAAGTTTCGAAGTCGCGAACTGTAGAGCGAAACCATTAGAAAGATTAGCCGACAAATAAGTTCAATCGTGTTCGATAAAGTCGAGGTTCGTTCGCGTGTCCGCGACGATCTCGTACTAGGTATGCGATTACACTAGGTATGCGATTACACTAGGTACACGATTTTGCGTTTTTTTTTGTTTTGTTTTGTTTCGTTGGCAAGCACGGTTTTGGGGTCTGGCTTTCGCGAACGTTGAATAAAATATACTATTGACTCCGGCCGCATGTCATTCGGTACGGCATCGCGATTTACAGCGCCACACGTTTCACGTATTTCAAAAGTGGCAATTCCACCGGTCGAGAGTAAATTCCGATGCCCGATTCACCGAACTCGGCTGCGTATACTCGGCCGCGTGTTTGTGTTTTTTAACCGGTTGTTTATACTACGACGTCGCGCGCGAGGTCGCACGGTCACGCAGGTCGCGCACAATCGTCTCAGGCGTGTCGAAAATTCGGCATGTACGACGGACTTGGAGCGCTCGGCGCATGGCCCGCGGGGAGTGGGGAGTGGGCGCCGAGTACTTAGGGGCGGGGGTGGGGCGGGGGAGGGGGGACGAGGTTCGTTACGCGCGGGCGCGCGAGCCGGCCGCGTGACGTAGCGCGACGCGCTCGGCGCGCTACCCCACTTTCAAAAGTCCCGACCGCCCGCCCGGCTCAGTCGCGCGCCGATCACCGGATCATGTGTATGCCTGCCCGTTAAGCGCTCCCGCGCGTGACCGTGTCACTCCGGGGCCTCTCTGGTATTCCCGCGGGAGTGTCTCGCGACGATCCTTCCACCAGAGGGTGAAGTCTCTTGTTATTCCGAGACACGGGAGATTCGGCGGCCGCGACCTCTCGCGAACGGTAACGGCAGTAACGGCGTGAAAATTAGCCCCGTGTCGTGAACGAGTGCAAACGCGAGCGACGCTTCCCGAAACACCGGGACGCCGCCGAGGCGTTCGGTTCGACGCCGCGCCGGTACGTCGGAGCACAATATCACACGTCCCGCGGGATAGTCGTAGTGGATTCAATAATTATTTCGCGTCGTGTGTCCGCATAGTGGTTTCAATCATTTCGGAGCATGGATGACACCAGCTACGCGCGAACTGCGTCCCGCGAGGCGGATCGAAGTGAGACGTTGCGTCGCGCGGTTTAACGTGTGCGCGTGTGTATGTGTGTGCGTGTGTGTGGGCAGCAGGCGAGATTCGATCAGGATTCGAGCGGGATCGCCCGTGTAGACACGGTGCACGGTGCCGTGAGTGAGGTAAATCGAGCATAGATCGAACGTCGCGAACTTTTCAGGGGGGCAGGGGGGGGGAGGCTATGGCCGTGTCGTCGTGCGAGCCGCCAAGCTTGATCGGTGTGGACCGGCCGGAAATGATCGATCCGAGTTCGACGACTTCGCGGCGAGTGACGGTGATTCCTCGTCGTTGAAGATTATACGCTCGCGGAGATATATATATCGCGGATATCGCGCGGTGTCGATTACCAAAAGTGCGGATGATGTGACATGTCCGCTGGTGGCGTACAACAGTGTGGCGTCGATGTAAAGAAGACTGACTGATTGGAACGACGCGATGATGTCAGCCAGTGCCGCAGTCGGGAAAGTCATGATCGTGCTGGCGGTGTGGTTGCTGCTTCTCCGGGCTCATCGGGTGGCGGGCTCCGATCATTTGGGTGAGTCACTTTTCCCGATTTTGCGAATTGGAGATCGTAAAATTGTAATTTCGATAGATTTCAGTTTTTCAATGCCATGAATAGTACGCGAAATGTTTGACTTGTGACCACAACTACGAATATTTTGTGTAATTTTAATTTGTAATTGTTGAATAAATGCACGCGAAACATACACATTTGTGTAAATTCCTCGCTTTCGGAATTTTAATTGGTTCGATTTTCTATTAATTTTTACATGAAACATATATATTTAACCGATAAAAATATTTATTGCTACATTGTATGTTATACATATAATTGGCGTATATTTTTTTTAATTTGTTAGAATAAGTAAAAAGTAGTATGAATCTCAATTTTTTTTGTTTTGTTTACAAATTATTAAGCGATAATTATTAAATGATTGACACACTTTTTAAAAGATTCTGAGAAGTAGGTATTCATACACAATCTTGAGTGCAAAAACATACGATATTTTCTGAGTGCAATAATGATTTCTAATATCTGAATGAAATACATATTCTGAAATAAAATAATATAATTTTGCGTTAATAAAGATCACTTTAGAGAGGTTGTATTGAGTTTTCTACTTGACAGTTTGCTTTTCAATTCAGACAACGATAAATGACGCACGGAGAAATGTAGCGTAAATTTATAATGTTGAATATTATCTCGTTGAAGATTGAAAAGTTAAAATTGACCGTATTGGATTATGTCGTTGCCTATTTCGGATGGAGGTAAATGCCATACGGAGTAGCAACTCCATGTGCATATAATTAAGAGATTAGAGAGCAAAATTGAGGGAATTGCCGCCCGGGAGATGTTGCATGTCGCTCGCGTTTACCCGCCTCTTTCGTGATGCCTAAGGCGCTGCGCGTAGTCCTGCAATAATTGGCATAATTAAACTTAACCATGTTAAAGTCGATATCCCGTCTCGTGGCAACGGCTCGGTATTCGGTGTCTACGATCGTTTTGATTCATGGGACAAATTCCGGGGCCGATGCGCCATAAATCAGGGATCATTGTGACGCGTGAATTAGTTGCAACCCAAGCCGCTCGTATAATTAATCTAGAGCACGTAAAATCGTTTACATATAGATAACAGTTGTCAGGACGCGTTTTATGCCCACTCCCCCTCCCCCTCGCGTGCGCGTGCGCTCTCTGGTTTGCGATTGAACGAATATATCGTGGGATTTGTAAGAACCGTCCGGTTATATCCGGCTACCGCTGTGATAATTTACGACGGCACGGTATATCGCGACTGCCGATTTGTTGGGGAATTAGCGCACTCGTTAATAATTAATGGGACGGCGAAAGGAACGAGGTTCGATTTCCGCAAACGTGTGTTACATCTTCGAAAATTTTAAAACGATTTTCCAAACGTGAATTAAATCCCACGGGGCTGGTCGAATTTTCCGTTGGAATGCTAGCATTGAATACTAAATCTACCGTGGAATTTTAGTATACAAAGTCGAGATATTACGGGTCGAGAGTTACGGATTAAAATTATTAGCAGAAATTTTAGAACGTTAATGGCTCTAACGTTACTTAGATTAACATAATTCTGCAGTAGATAATAATTAAAAGTCGATTAATCTAATTTGAATTTTCTGAAGGGAGAAAATTACTTGTAACATATTTTGCGCGTAAATATGTTGCAGAAAGATAACTTGAAAATTTTATATAAGAAATTACTTGGTTATATTTAACAATGCATCTCTGTAATATGTTTTCATTGCGATTATTATCCTACACTCGGATGCTATTCAAGCTAGTATACACATTTTTGGTCCGCGGTTCACCTCTCCATTATGATCTTTCGCGTTTTGCTAATGCACCTGGGTCGCGTTTCGATCGTAACTGATGCTCTGGGAGTGCTCGGTGGTTGTACAGCATATATAGGTATGTCCAGATATTAGATAACGTCGATAGATCCGGCGGGGCGCGATCGTAAAGTTGCTCAGACGTTCGTCATGTAGGTGCTAACGTGTGCGAAAAGAAGGGGAGGAAAAAGAATAAGACGAATGAGGGGGTGGGAGGAGGGTCGGGACAGTGCATTTGCGCGCGGAGTGTCGAATAGCCGCGGGAAGAAAGCGCGTAATTACCCTCGTAAATCTGTCGGATGTTTTCGAGGAAGGGAAGGAGATCGGGACGTCCCGGCGATGGCACTTTGTCGATAGTCCGCGCGCGCGCGCGGTCGTTTAGTCTCGCGCTCGTAAATTCTTATTATAATTGGCGCGATTTGCAGCGACGCTCGGAAATCGGCGATCGACGGCGACGATCCGCCTCCGTTGCGTTCCGGTAGCCTTGGTACAGTTTGAAAAGTCGCCGGCCATCTCTATAAATCGTGCGAAAACGATGGACGCCCGCGGGCTTACGTACGGTTGAAGTTTTGCAGATCCACGTGAGTTGCAAAAAAGCTAGGAGGGACCGCTAGGAAGTAGAACTTTGCCATGTAACGCGAGAACATTTGGCTTTAAAGAACATGACTTACACGATCCGTAGAAAAAGTTGTCCGAGTAGATAGTAGACGTTTTAAAATGGAACACGAAAAATAAATATATATAAATGTTTAATAATAGCATTAGCTAACAACACCAATCAATTGAAAATAATCTTGTTTATTCAATAACAGTATTAATGAAACAAATACAATTTTGTTGAATCAATAGCAAGGCGTATTTATTTCATTAATGCCGTCATTGAATTAACAAGATTATTTAATTAGATATCGGCTAATGCTGTTAATACAATATGATTTTTTTTCTTCACTGTACATGGGTCGTCTCTTAAGGATTACTTCGATCTTGATTTCGATTAACCGTGTATCGTATCGAAGAATGTCATTGCGCTGGATTGAGGATGGATTTGCAGGAAACGGTTCGTCGTGTAACTGGCGCAAGAGATTTGCGCACGGGAAATGTCTTATATAATCTTGATTATCTTACTCGGATATCTTTGCCGTCTTTCACTATAAATTGTACAAAATCTGTGCGAAATGAGGTCACGAACTGCAAGGGGAATGCCCACCTATCTGCATTTCGCCGGGAACAATTCTTCCGTGGCCATAATTCAGCGCTGCCAGCGAAAAAAAAAAAGAAACGGACAAGTCGTAATTTTCACTCTCTCGCGAAATAGATTCGAATATTCGAAAATTAATGCAAGATATTTTATATTCGCAACCGTCGCGTTGCTGCGATAAAATACGGGTCGAACGGCTTGTGGACTTCGTATTGAAAGCGGCGCGCATGCAGTTTGCAAAATTTCTGCGCTCTTTTTTCATCTCGCTTCGACGTTGCTACGATGTGTTACGATGCGCAGTCGCAGTCACCGTATAGCACCCTGCATTGTGGTACACAAACATTGCATTGCAGATAATTGATATTATATTTATAAATAATATTCGGGATGCAAATAATTTTCTTGTTATTTAAACAATGTGGCAGCAAATTGTTCTGAAATCGCTTGCAACCGATTAATTTATGTAGAATTGTAGTGCTTATATACGAAGTAAAACAATGGATCTTCCGCATGCATAATTAACCGTTTCGTAGAGCAGCTTTGGGAGTCGAATACGATTAAAGGCTTTTCTGTTTTGGCTTCCATTTTCCTCGTTATCGACATTCTGATCGTTCTCTTCTAACGTTCTCTTTAACTCTTAACAGTTGCCGCCTTTTTAAAATAGATTTACAATTTTTAACGTTTTCTGTAACGTTTTACGTTATTTTATAAATTATTCAAAGTCGTATTGTTCGGAGAATTCAAAATGATTTCTGTTAAGGCAACAGTTTTTAAAATTATTATTCACGTATTTCGTAAAATTTTTTTATTCACGTATCGTGATTTTTTTGTTTGACTTGCGTTATAATGTTTTGTCCATATAACGCAGGGTGATTTCATGATTGATGCGATAAACATCGATCTCGTGTTCGTCATGTTACGATTCCCTATCGACACACATTCTCTCTCTTTCTCTCTCTTATCCTCTCACATTCAATCTCGTACATTCTTTTTGGGATAAAAGTTTCGACGGGAGAGCACTTCGTTTTCAAGCTTTCCCATTTCCGTTTCCACCCCGGCCGCCTTACGGTCGCCGCAACAGAACGCCTATTTCTCGACTCCCGATTCAGCAAAGTCGCGTAGAGTAGGTGGCTGCTCAGCTACGGTTTAGTAGCGGTCTACACTTCGCGGAAGTGCATTTACCTATTGTTCGGCTGGCTCGTCTTTCTTTTCCGAAGAGTTGAAAGCGTGCCCAATCTACATATCTGGCCCCGTGTAAATTTCCGGCATTGCACGCATGCCGTCTCGCTTCTGCTTCGTTGTAATGCCGCGGCTGTTTTCGTAATATCGACAGTTTCCGATTTCGACGCGTGTGATCGCTGGCGAGATGGTATCCGTACTTTTATTTAGAGGCGAGCTTCTCTCGCGGGTAACGACGCGCGTTACTTTTGAAACGAGCTTCGTGAAGTACCGACATATGTATCGTTCGACTTGATCGTTTCTCTTTTAGATAAGAGTGCACTCAATTTATATATGTAGCCACATATACAACATTTTTGCCGTTCTTTTTGATACTGGTTTATGTATGTTATGATCAGTTGTATGCGCCGTTGGTTCTGAGATTTTTTATGAAATTCTTCTTTTTTTCTATCAGAATTCTTGGGAACAAATAGGTAGAGCCAAAAGTTGGTTGCTTTGAAATTGTGATCTTGGCGAACGAGATAAGCCTCATGTTTTAAACATAAGGATGTAAGAGGTCAAAGTTCAGGCCGACGCAACGAGTGTATTACGACGAAGTCGCGGTAACTAGATTCGTGATTTTGAGATGCTCGAAATCCGCCTTGTTGTACAAAAACGTGGCGGATTTACCCCCTCGCCTTGCTGGCATTTAGCTTATTGGCTGGGTGAGTTGCGAGCTTTTCCGGGCATGCGAGATCTTGTCGGATCGGTCTGTCACTCTTGTATGTCACACAGGCAAATTAGCGTAATTTCGGTCGATCGGA